GATCGGTGTGAGCACCTCAACACGAGGTGCTGATGCCAGCTCACTATCACGATCTAAATGTGTCTCAGCGCAGGCACATAACGCCCCAGCCATTGGTCTTGCACAGCTTGACTGCCTGAGATAACAATCAGATCAGAATTCTGTACAACACAGTCATCGCAAGAGAGCAGCAGCAAATGCAGCAGGCTTGCATCAATAGACTCAGAGACGGTGCCGATCTGATTGACTTTTAGCAGAAGCCTCGGGAAAAGATGCAACACGCCGCATGCTATACACATGACAAAGCCTGAAACGAACATCTGAAGCTGCGCTTGCTTGGCCAAGCCACGCGTTGCAGGCTTTGTCATCAATGGCCTTCTTCACGCGGGTGACGTTCGTGACGGTCAGGTCATCTCCGACCTGAGCACGACTCATGCAGTCGCTGTCGTCAAACGCGGGCAGCTGAGTACAGGATGTTCCGAGCATGTGGCAACCTGGGTGGGTCCACCCACCTTGGCAGTGAAGCCTGTCCATGCCGCCCAGTCATCCTGTCCGGATCTATCCGATTTCACGCGGAGGGCAGCAAGCAATCGAGTTTGCACAAGTCTCTTGGGTCTCCGATGCCTGATCAAAAGGATCCTCGATGGTGATGAGCGGGTAATTGGCACAGAGATCTGCGTAGAAATCTGCCAGCTGCGAGCCAGTCATCTTCAGCTCGGGGGTCTTCTCGGCTTCCTGAGTTTGAGGTCTTGACCCACTGCCACCCAGCATGTCAAGCTGCCTTTGCTTTGAAAGCAGGGGGCTGCATACCAAGTGCCGAGGTCGTAGCAGTCTGCACCCTCCTTGCAGATCACGCTTCTCAAGCCAGGGGTTTTGTCTCCGACAACGAGCCAGTGGCTCCAAACGCAGAGTGAATTCACCATCTGTTGCGGAGGTAAGCTTAATTTGCCGCTGCTTCAACTTCAAGGCGGCACTCGACACGACCTCAACTGCAGGCACATGCAAACCCGAAGCAGGAACACACCCGCTCCCTGAAGATTTGTTTTCATTTGTCTCCGACGACATAGGGTCCTCGTTCCTACCCGCAAAGCCGCAGACAAAGGCTCCTGCTTGAACTCGGAGGCCGCCACGTCCATGCCGATCTTGCACTTGTCCTTGTACCCAGCTTTCCTGAGGGCAACAAACGGTAGCACGACGGAGCCTGACTGGGCAAGTTGCAAGTCGAGCTCCCGCCGTGCTCCGGCTAAGGTGTCGCTGAGCGGCTCAATCGCTTCCATGATCAACTCCACGCCCTGCTTCGCATCGCAAGGAGGAGCAAAGCCACCTGCACTTAAAGGCAGCAGTCATTGGAGAGACCGATGTCTTGGGCGACATCAACGGTCCGACGGTCGACCTTCATCACCAATCAGCGTGGCATCGCCACCGAACCTTGCAGTGAAAGGCTTTCGGCATTGATGCGGTTGCTACTGTTACTAGTTCAGATCAGGCGACCAATGAACCAGAGTGTGCATGGCCATCTAAAGTCAATTCAGAAATGGACGGGTGGCTTCTTCTTGATGATGCCCTTCAATGTGTGGTAGCATTCCGAACCGATACGCATAGCATCCTTGAAAGAGGACGCACCCACTGGGATGATGAAGTACCTCGGAACGCAAGCTTACGTGCTTTGCTGTTGCAGCTTACGAGGCTTAAACCCCTGCCCTAAACAAGCTTTTCACTGTTGCTCGAAACCAAGACCACAAGGCTCTTGTGGGGCAATTGCCGAGATGCTCCTGGAAGGCGAGCTTGTTGCCTGTAACGAGGCGCTGTGCAAGTCACGACGATGCATGAAGCTGCACTGTGCTATTTGCAGCAAGGAGCCTGCATGAGAGCCTCCGTTGATGACGTTAAAGCAAGGGACAGGCAGCGTGAGCTTCTGAGAGTTGCCGGCAAGCTCGGCAAAGTGCTGGTACCTCAAATACTCTGTGCCACGGCACGGTGATTCACTCATGCCTGGCTGGATCTCTCCATGTTTTTTTGACTTGTTTCTGCGTCGGTGGGTTCCAGTCTTACAGCGTCAAGTTGCAGCAGGCGCTCCTGGGTCCGAGTCGGCACTGTTTTCTTCGGTGCTACCAGCGCACGTCATATCCTGTTTCGTTTGCTGCCTGAACATCCCCGATCCACGACTTCCCGATTTGAATAATCGTTGGAGGTGTTCGGCGGGAGTTCGTAGTCGGAAGTACAGGCAGAAGTACCCAACCAACTTCTGAATCCACAGCCGGCGTTGTCATAGCCGAGATGCAGAGGGACGCCCTTTGCCTGCAAACAAGCTGTTCTAGCCAGGTATAGCCAGATCATCTGGAGTGGGGTGGGGTATCTTGAAGTGTAGGCGCGGGCAGGCCCGCAAAAGCCGCAGTGATGGTTTCTGATGTGGAAACTGTGTGGGTCCCGGGCCTGCGCAGCGGCCTTGGCAGCAGCCATTGACACACCCTGGAGAGAGGCTTCCAGGCATCAGGTTCATGGGTCCGAGCAGGCTTAGGAGAGCATTTACGCTAAACTTCAGGGCTTGACTCCACTGTCCAATAATCAAGCTGTATCCCCTGCACTGTGGCAGGAACTTCACCTTCACAAGGGATCCGCACATTTTTGCTAACGGGTGCCGAAGTCTCTGCGAACGCTGAACCCTGATAAGTCGTACACTCCCGAACTCGAACACCTGAAGCCCTCAACCCTCAAACCGTCCCCAAAAGCTACAGATTCCCGGTCCAGAATCGCGTTGGCTCCCAGCTTGCTCTTGTTCGGGGTACCATCAAGCCTCTGTAGCAAACACGACGCAAGCAGAGGAGCACCCGTTGCCAGAGTTTGGCCAAGGAGTCGATCGAATGGCGGTTGCTGAAGATTCCCCCACTGGGTTTCTAGCTCTCAGTTACCAACTACATCCACCTACTCTTCACCTGTGCCGTGGCTGAGGCAAGAAGCTCGATCATCTTGTCATCGAGCTCCTTCTGCTTCGACACGTCAAATCCCTGCAGGCGCTTAGAGCCGACATCAGCAAATCCAAAGATGCCGGCCAAAAGAGTCGGCCTTCAAGGATGCGTTCAAGACCGTGTTCACAGACTCGACAGCCTTCAAGACCTGATGAAGAACGCCAATGTACAGAAGCTACGCCGGAACGAATGCAAGAAGAGTTGCCCCAAAAATGCGACGGCTAACGTTCGGCCACAGGACTATGGGACACGACAAGCTTAGGCTTGCTTCCTTACCTTCGATGGCGAGGCACGCCCTTGCCCAAGTAGCGGCCTTTGTCTCCATCTCGCAATTCGCAGGCCTGCGCCGAGGATCCGAATCTGAACGCTGACAGCAAGCATTGATCTTTATCAACGACTGAATCCAGCATAAATCGCCTCGTGCACGCCCGTGGAGGCACCGCTCGGAACTGCTGCAGTGACAGTAACACCGCCTTCTGTGATGAGGTCCACCTGCCAGTCACAACTTTAGCAAAGAACAGGGCCCAAGGCAAGCCTCAGCCATCTGTCGCAAATCGGCGCTTCCGACACCCCTTCTGCCTCCACAGTCGGGTTCCCCCGGCTGTCCAAAATCTCACGGCCCTTGAGCTCCTGTCTCAAATGTGAAAGAAATCCTCTCATGTTGAAACTTGTTGGCAGATCGCAGTCTGTACGCAGAATCTGCTGACATTGCACCTGAGCTTTGAGTGCCGAAGGAGTGGGCTCTCATTTGCAGAACAGGAAAGCCGTCTCGGCCTTGGAATTTGAACCCGGGAAACCAGGACCTTGTCCTGGTTAACTTAACTTTCCTCTGCATGAAGATTCCATGTTTCTCTGTTTTTCCGGTTTGCAGTGGGTTTCTGTGATGTGCGTGGTTGCCCCACACTCCTCTTCAGGTTTATGGTTCGCTGCTGACCGGAGTCTACCAGCAGTGTTGAGAACATCGGAGAACCCTCAGAAAGGTCCTTGATCTTGAACATGCTGGCTGACACGGCTTCAATTGCGGCCTTGTGCCAGGCGACTCGATGGAGAGGTATTCGCGAGCCAGTAGCAGAAAAGCCAAAAAGAACGCGAACAGCCCTGCAGGACTCCTTGCCAAACGATGCAATGATTCATGGTGCAACCTCGCCACAGAGAGGTCTGCCGCGCCGGTGGCTTTCAGTGCATCCAAGACGGCCTGCATTACGAATCAATGTGCTCATGAAACAGTTCGGAATATCAGCTGCCTCTTGACATATCGTTTGTGCACAGGCATGAGTCAGCTACTAGTTATCTCTGTGCAAGACAAATCATGCCGCCTTCGCCATTCTTGCTAAAGAGGGCAGCGGAGACAGCCAAGTTTCGTTGAGCTGAAATAGCTGCGTGGGCATTGCAAACACCGTGACGGCTGTACCGTTGTGTTGCTGAAAGGCATACGACAGGAACCAGCCCTAGCCACGATTGATGGCCTCGATCTTCTGTAGGCCTCATACCAAGCATCGGGCAGCGGCTCATCTGAGTGGCCCGTGGCCTCTCAAAACGGTAACGTGAGCAAACACAGCCTGCTTTTTCCAATCTGCCTGTGACATGTGTCAACCCCAGTGTCCGGAACGGACACGTCTTCACCGCGATGTTCTTTGATACTCTTTCATGCTGTCCACTCATGGGATCGGGTTTCTTCCGAGCTCGTGTTGACATGTCTCTTTTGATCTGTGAATGCCCCAGGCCATGCTTGATGAGCACACGTTCCCCGACTGCCTGGAAGCCAGCGGTGGCGAGCAAGCAAAAGCGCAGCATGGCAGGAGTCTCCCTGCTGTTGCCGCTAAAACTTTTGTTCTGAACTGATCTAGCTGCTTGCGTGGATTTCACTAACATGGCTACATTGTTATGACTTATGACTTTCCGCCCGTCGGACCCGCCCAGAACAGAACAAACAGCTGTGTGCCAGGGAACTGCGAAATCGCAAGATTTCTGTCAGTGGATTGAGACAGGCTGTTGGAAAGCATGCATGGACACAGCTAAGTCACCAGTACCAGTCTGCGCTTGTGCATTGCCTGCCTTGTCACATTTACTCCCGGGATCCTTCTCAGCAGCTTCTCCAAGTGTGCAGCCTGCATCTTCTCGTCTCTGTCTTCTAGGGTGAGCCCAAGCAAACATGCCGATCCATCTAGCTGAGCTGCTTCATTCTATCAAGCTCAATGTCAAACACAGAATACAAGTGTTTAAGCACCGGTCTGAGAGGCATGCCCAAGCATCGAACTGCTCCTCGTCGGACATGCCGATTCCATACACATCTTGCAGTTCCTGTTGCAAGGATTTCAAAGGAAACGGCAGTGGTGTCAGCAACCTCGTCAATCCCCAACCAAGACTGTCATGTTTGAACCGGTCCGTGCCTTTGGAGCATCGCTGGAATGTGGCAAGCAGCATGGCCCCAGCACACAGCACCTAAGTTCGACGCACGCTGACAGAAACCGCGAGAAAGATGCGAAGTCGGCTTCTGGAGGCAGGGCTTGGCAAGCAGTTTCGAACTTGAACATAATGGGTTTGGCGTCGTCAGTGTCACCCTGCTCCTGCCGTTGCCGTGTCGCTCAGCGCCTCGGACTAGCACGTTTGCAAGGCCTGTAGGGCAACGGCCGAATCAAATCGATCTGGCGGAACGCACTGATTGCCTGCAAACTCCTGCCATCCAGCTTTACTCGAGAGAACCCGTGCCCATGACGAAGCGGCTTGGATCGGCTTGGTAGACAGTTGTGTGGACGCGGATTAGACAAGCAAACTTCGGAGTGGCCAAACTTCTTCCGTTTTTGGGCGTGGGTTCAGTGCTCCAGACTCCCTGCCGCCGCCGCCCCTCCGCCCCACGCTTGCCTCCCTGCTTTCAGCTCAACTGCAGCGGTGGAAACAACAGGATGTTCCAGCTTAACTCTGGCCAGCAGTGCAGACGACCACACAGGTGCATCGCCAAAATCGCCGCGGGCCTGTCACAAAGAGTCGAAACGTGCAGAAGTGCACCTCCCGACACATCTGCGCATCATCCTGCCTTCCCATGCCTTCCACACGTCGTGCTAACGACTGCACGAAGTCATGCGCGAGCACATCACACCTCGAATGCGCATCCGCCATCAGCAGAAGTGGCAGAAGCAAACACCGTGGTCGCACAAACGAGCCAGTCAACAACAGCTGGTCAGCTCGAATCAGCTCGTCCCAATTTCCCGTTCACGTGTGTCGCATGTTGAGGCTTCCAAAAGAGGAACGATGCCCCATCGTTGAACTGATCCATTCAATGCTCACGTGCTGCCTCCAGTACTCGACCGGCACCTTCGCATGCGCCCGACCCTGCCAGCAAGACGTGGTATTCTAGCCTACTTGCTCTGGGAATATTTGTGAGCGAGCGAAGGGACGCCAATACAAACCAACTTTTTGCGCTGTTCGCACTCTACAGGTTCGAGCACCGCTTCTGCACTGACAGTGGCACGGAGGATTCACAAGTGAAACGGCTTCTCCAGCCTTCGGTCCCCCGCAGCCTCTGAAACCTTGAAGCCTTTGTTGGAAGGTCACTCGCGCCAGCTAGCTGGCACCTCTCGATTTGGCTGGTACCGGTGGCAGTCGGTTTCGTAGTTGCATCTATGTGGCGTTTTGGTCTGACCAGCAATGGCTAAAAGAGATTCAGTGCTCCGAACATCACAATGTCCTCCCAAATGGGTGCGACATGCGTGACGAGGCTAGGGATGCTTTGTGTCAGAACGGTCTTGCTACAGGCCTACCAATGTTGGTTCGGAGGGCAACTCACGCACAAAGCATCCTCGGCTAGGCAGCATTAAAGGAAACAATTCGGTGCTATGGCATTGGCAATTTGGTGTCAGCCTGCTCTGACGTTGCATTGTACGGCTTTCAGGCAATCGGCAGCACAGTCACACTAATCTACAAGCCGTGCAGAATGCTTCCTTGACTGGCTTGCTGTCATTGCCTGCATCGGTTGTCTACACAGATTCCTTGCACATAAAAATCGCACTAGGCTCGCAGAAGCACTGGAGACCTGCTTTCAGGAACTTTCAGAGCTTTCGTAGCGGATTCACAGGGAGCACTGAGCAGGAGTTTCCCAGCTTCTGCTGCAAATGACTTTGGGGTCCAGAGGGGTACACCGTGTGGTCACAGACTGGCTTGCATCGTCACAAATGCCCAGCCAAAGCTTCCGTGTGAAATGCGTACTTTGCAGCACTTCCTTGTCGCATCGCGTGCGGTCAAGGGCCTGAAGAAAGGGGATCAGGGCATCTGGGTGGTGGTAAACTGCAAACTTGCACCATTGTGAACGCTCTAACCTGCCCGGCCTGGCATCTAGGCGGCGCCCCATGCTGCGTTTTGCCAATGGGCCTGGCCTTCGTGAGAGGTTTAGCCACGCAATCTGGCTGAAAAGCTTCCAGAATCATGGTGCGCGAGTGACTAAACACACTGAATGTACACATTCTGGCCTGAATACGCTGCTTGCTGAATCGGAACTTGATGCTGACCTGGGACGAGGTAAAGGGTAGCCGAGGGCGAGGTGCCTCGAGTTGCACACATTTGCAACCAGCAGCTGTAGCCAGAGTAGTTTCCGCCATAGTAGTTGTAGCAATCCCCGCCATAGGCAGCATTTGCTCCTCAACATTTGCAATCCCTGCCTAAATATGCAGCTTGCGCACCACCAACATGTATGCAAAGCACGCTTAGCAAGCTGGGGTCCTTCGGCGGTCACCCAGCAGTTTTGACCGGCGCCACCCTGTTTTACAGGTCGCGTTGGCTGTTGATTGCATCTAGCATGTCAGTGTCAAACCGAGGCCTGTGTCCAGGCTTGCTGGGGTTGCTGCCACTGCTGTCCCTGACAATCTCATCATGGCACACGATTCAGCCCTTCCCGATTGATTGCCTGCCTGCGCATAGCCCATCTGGTGTTGTCCCTGACAATCTCACCATGGAACACCATTCAGCCCTCGACGATTGAACGCCTGCCTGCGCATAGCCCATCTGGTTGTTCCACGACGGGTCGTAGCACTGGTCGTACGCATGCGTTTGGTTGTAAGCTGGATTGTAGGCTTGCGCGTAGCCGTAGCCGGTCTGGTCGTAGCCAGATCCCCAAGCAGCATACGGATTTCCCCACTGATCGTGGCCTGAACAAGTGTGCAGAAACAGTGTAACGTATGACAGGGCATTGCTGTTGCCGGAGACCTCGTGGCGGTGCTGCCACTTCGCCCCGCTCTTGCTTCGCGCGCTGGTGTGCCGCTTTAACGGCGCTTCTGATCTTCTCTTCGATGCTTTGCTGGTTGGGACTGGGCACACAAATCAATCCGCCATTTGTAGTATGATGTTCCGGAGCATGATTAGACTACTGAAGTACAGGTATGGCACCAGCGTATGCTGCATCAAGCTCCTTCATGTTTGAGGGCCGGGCTTGAAGGCTTTGGCGGATGCTGACATCTGGAACTTTGGCTTTTCGTCGGTAGTCGTGGATGTTGTGCCTTTGCCTTTTTCGTCAGCAGCCTTAGAGTCTTTGGTGTCCTCGGGCTCGGACAGCTGAAAGCCTCACCTTGACCCTTCTCATGGACAAGGCTCCTTGGAGGCATCAGGCTCGCCACCACTTACTGTCTCCATGGCAACCTGGAGTCGCTGGCCGACCGTCCACTGCTGCAGATTGTCGCATGAATTTTACTTGCCTTCGCCACAGTGTCCCGGTGCTTCTTCCTGGCTTCCAGGAGACACCTGTAAGAGCGCGGCTCTCCGGCATCCCACATCAGAGCTCTGTGAAAATCAAAACCAAGCCGCTTCTGGACCATCTCTAGCTGCTGAGCCACAGCTTCCTTATCTGGCTCATCGCCAAGGCCTGTCATGAGTTCAAGCGAAGTCCCTAGCACATCAGACTGGGCGAAGGATTTTGCAGAAAAGAGGGGCCGCGACCTGCAGCCTCCAACGTTTCGACGGCTTTGCAGATGCTAAGTCGATTCCTTTTCCTGGTGTTCGCCACGGCCTGAAGGATGCTGTCCTGCAAAACCAGATGTGCGAAGAAACGCAACTTTTCCACAGGACAGAACAGATTAACAGATTATTCAGGTATCGCTGATCTGCCATCGGTCGATCCTTGTTGGAGTCATCGTCGATCAGCTTGGACTTTTGAATGCCAGCAATGCTCTTCCTCATGTTTTACTGTGACGCTTGAATCGAAATCGTTCCGTCTCGACTCCGTCTCGACGAAGCTACCTGTGATTCTTCGCGGCGCAGCGCGCTGCTTCGTCAAGGGCGCCACGACGAACCATCGACGACCGGCGTGCCCTGCCAGCAGGTGCCTTTGCGCAGGGTTTGCTACTTGATGAGTCAGCAGATTTCACACAAGAAGGCATCAAGTATGGGGAGAAGACTCAGCTGCTGTTCACTTCACTTCACTGGCCTTCTCCAGCTTGTCGGCCAGTTCCTTCGGATCGGGCGGCGTGCTCCTTGACATGCAGCGATGCGGTCGGCACTAGTCACTATGAACGGCTGCTGTCTTCTTCGAGGATAGAGCCGTAGGGACTGCCAATGGTTGCAAGCCACAACTCAAGCAAGCGAATCAAGATGCAACCCGTCAGCCTCAAGCAAGGCATGACAGGTAACCAGGTAGCCCCATCTTAAGCATCTGAAGCTCTTACACATCCTCTCCGAGTGGCGCTTCAAAATCAGTCGGCTGCGCCGGCGGGGTCATCCTGCCGGTCAGATCACCCTGGCAGTCTGGACCTTGCAACGGCTTCCAGGTGTTCGGGTTGACCAGGGCTTATGGGGCTGATCTGGTTGTCTGCAGCCAAGGGGGCGGGCTGCCTCCGCCTCCGGATCCTCTTGTGCAAGTCGTTGGATCATGGCCTGCACACATCTGCATATTCATCGCAAGATGCAAGGGAGCTAGGGGGCGGCACTCCAGCGGGAAATCGCACCACAGGCCTCTGCCATGCCCACCTGGATCGTCTCCTTAGATGCAGATGCCACGGCTGCTGGATGCGAGCCAAGACCAACTTCGCAGCGAAAAGGTCATGTCGGAGCGTGTCGGAGAGGAAGCTTTCTTGATAGTGCCTCCGAGCATCCACCAGCTCCTCCTCGGTCACGTCGCCTCTCTGGAGAAGCTCTGCCACACGCTCTGGGTCGAAGTTGTACGCGTCCTCTTTGCCGAATCTCAAGGCTTATCTGTCGGACCTAACGACTTCACCTTCTTCCGCTACAACTAATATCACCTTCAAATCTCGCGGCGGTGCGTCTCGAGTCGAGATAGTGCAGAACAAGGTCGCGCGAGTAAAGCAAAGGCTTCGTCAGCTGACGCAGTGCACCTCGAGGTCCCAGTCTTCCGACTCATCGTCGTCGTCGGCCTCGTCGTCGTCGGAGTCATCCATGGCGAAGCACCTGCAAAAGACTTGCAACAATCAAAGCCTGCTCGGGGTCTAGTTCACAGCACTTGCTGACTTTGCTGGGCAGTGAGCACACGGTCTCATTGTTCTTTTCCTTCGTGTCCTCTTCACCATCGCTGCTTCGTCCTGAGTCCTGCGAGTCATTGGAAAATTTTGAATGTGCATTTGTGCTCGAGGCTCGCGCTACAAAGCGATGTTCCGAGCCTCCGTCTCTGCTTCCGGAATTGCAAATATCTCGCTATCTATGCCGAGCAGTTTCTGATCACGTTCCTCGATTTCATCGGGTGAGCCTGCAATACATGTTCGCCAACAAACTCGTTCATGCTCTTTCATGAGCTGGAGAACATTTGCAAAAACCAGTTCCAGACGACAGCAACTCAATGACTCAATGAAAAAGCTCAGTGGTGCGCCTCCAAGGCACTTTGTCAGGAAAACCTTGTACTCTTTGGAGGAAGATGACTCCTCGGATGTAGCCGACGTAGTGGCCATGCTGCGCCAGCGCGGCACAAAGTGGCAGGGTTCTTGAGCCGTGCTGACAGGATTCTTGAATTTCAAGAGGTCTCAAGCCTTGACCCGGATGGAATGCGTTTCAGACATGAATACAGCACAGTTGCCAATGTGGCCTGGCACATCTGAAGCTCAGCGGCACGCTGCAGCGCCTGATCATGGTGAGGGAGCCTGTAGTGCACCGCAGCCGTGCTTTGGGACGAATGGGGTGATTGAAGCAGGACAATTCTGCAGTTTCTGCAGAGTCAAGCCAACAAGCTCCACACCATCGCGAACTCCTCTTGCAACCAGTCTAGTCAAGTCAATGCCCCAGACAACGTTTAGAGACAACTGGGCCTGAATCACCAAAGGACCCCGCACCTGTGCACTTCGTCTTCTGAGTGAGATGCTCTTCTAGCGGTCGCAGATCCACGGCCTCGCATGCGGCCCGAGCTGACATGTTGTCGTACTATCAGGGGGCAAATGCTTCATCGGATTCGTCACTGCGCATCAAGTTCTTGACAGTGACATGTTGGTCTGCAAGTGCCGCGAATCATTTTGGGGATAGCATAGCTGGTGTCTAGCAGCGCTGCACTTTCACGCACTGGCATGCAGCTGACTTCCAAGCCTCATTTCAAAGACCCTATGCACCTGCAGGATTACCCAGGCATCACTACCTATCTTTGGTCAAAGATCAAGTGGCCAGGAAGCTGCAATTTTGAGTGCTGCTACTTAGCCTGGACTGCTGGACGTTGACAATCCAAGGCTCCACAAAAGAATTCCTTCGCCAAGCCAGGGCTTATAAAACGACTCACCTGGACCTGGCAAACGTTACGGAGCTTACGAACAGTCAAACACTGCATGCCTTAAGCATGTCTGTTCAGCTCGCTTTCCGGCCAATCATCATGCCAAGTCTATTACTTGCTGTGGCACTTGCAATATGTCAAATTAATACTTGAGGTTTCTCTCTCGACATGGCACCGAGTCGGCCAGACTCAGACTTAGAAGGTCGGAGTTGATCAAACAATAGTACACGAAGCTCGTGGCCGATGCAGCTCCTGTCCCACAGGCCATGGATATCCACCCATGAATCTTCAAATGTGAGTGTCCAAACAGCAGGTCGCCATGAAGTGACGAAAGGCAGGGGGACTGCCATGGAGTTTACAAGCTGCCTAGGCAGGTGCCGGTCAGAAAATTGTTCTGACAGCAGGGTTCTGCCACCAACTTCAACGATTCACCATGAGGCACCGTAGTCGGCGACAGCGCAGGTTCACGCTTTCGGAAACAGGTCGTAACACGCTTCCAAAAGCTGTCCAGCAATGGAGCCCGTCACAGCCCATCACTGCCGCTCTGAAGTGTGCAGGACTCATGTCCCTGATTTCAGAAAACTATGCAAAAAATCATACAGTTAAGAGTTCAGCTGCACCTGGTAGGTGCAGCTACAAAGAGACAACGTATTGCTGCGGATGCCTCAACAGGTGTTTTCCCATTTTGTTCGTGCTTTTTCGACAAACTCCTTGGGACCAGGACTGGCTTCTCATCCTGGGATCATCGCTGCTCAGCTGTAGTCCGTCGTCCAGGTGCACTATGCTTGAAAGCTTCGAGGCAATCTCTGCGGGCTGGCTCACACTTCTACAGTTCTCGAAGTTAAGGAGGTCGAAATCTTCAGATGCCAAAAATACTTCGCGCGGTTGGCTGATGCTTCTGAAAGCTTCCACAGCCGGCAGATTGAACTCGTCTGGGTTGCTTTTCGCATAGGACAGCAACTCACGGACACTCATCTTCGATGTGCTGCGCTCAAAAGCAGGCTGGCAACCTTGGATGTTTGAGAGGTGTTCACTTCAATCACGCCCAACTACCAGCGACTGTCCGACTGACGATTCAGTGCACAGTACCGAAACACAAACTAGAAAGACTGCACTGTTCAGGTTCGGATGCCCGTGCCCGTCAGATCTGATGATGCCCTCGACCTGCTTCGACTGCTTGCCCTTTTCAGCTCGCCCATACTGGCGGAGTGGGACACGGAGCGTTTTGCCCATGCGATATGTCTGGGACTCCTGCCACATGACAAGCTGCGAGAACTCGTGGACGGGTAACAATGGTTAACCTGCTGCAGCGACATAGGCCGGCACCGAATGGGATGCAGACTTGCAGCAGGCTAGACTGATCAGAATGTTTGGGCCGCCCAGTCAGCTGCAGATTGCAGTTGCATGATTGCAGATGCTCTACTATCTTCGAAGGCCACCGCGACAGTCTCAGGTTCGGGCCGTGATGGCTTCGGGCGGCATCTCTTCCAAAGAGAGCAGTGCAGACGTCAGCGACCTGCTCATGCAGGCCCGCTTGCTCTGTCACGTGTATCGCATGCTTGTGTGAGTGTGTGTGTGTGTGTGCGTGTATGTGCTACACTCGCTGCATTACACGACCCGCAGAGGAGGCTGATGAGGAGCCAACTTCCCGCAGCAGAGGTCCAAAGCGTGCCAAGGTCCATCCATGAAGTTTCGGGCAGCGTTGAGCAAAGCCAACGACTCTGAGAGCTCCTCCCGAGAATGAACGGGGATGCACGTTGCCTGCCAACACCAAGAATGCACGGCCTCAACCGGTGTCTCCTTGTGAAACCTCTTCGTTCTCGAGTGCCAAATGTGATACTCCGGCCTGACGCAAACTCCAAACGAATCACTTGCCCAGTCCATCCCGCTCCAACACAAGAGTCTTTGGAGCATTGTTGTTTGCAAAACAGGTGCGGGGCGGGAAACATAACACATCCTGATCTTCAGATTCCTACACGGAAAAGCTTGCAACGTCCAAGGGGTTGAGCACGTGTGCAGGTATGTGCAGGTGGCATGCATGTGCGCCGTCGGCAGGAAACGGCTCTAAGTTACGCGAATTTGCTCGAATACAGTTGCCTAACATGGCTCTACGTTTCGACCCTTTAGTTAAAAAGCGAAACCCTAGGTGAGACCCTAAGTAACACACTGTTTTTACTCTTTGGGTCATAGGCGCTTGACAATCATGGTCATGCATGCATACATGCATCCACTTTTACATTTACCGTAGCCTTGGGCTCACCAAACGTGTGGACTCACATACATCTACCAAATTTAACACACTGCCTCGAGGTTTGCGTGCTGTACTGAAGCAAATTCCATTTGTACACGGCATCCCCCGGCCCACTGCCGAGATGTTCTTCTCAGGCGTGCAGGTTCAAACAACCTGTGCCATGAGCGCACCTTGCCGCCCGCCAATTTCGAATGTTATCGCATTCTTCACTCTCAGCCTTCATGTGCTTTAACGCATACCTCGTCCTGTTTGCCAATGCGATCACATTCCGTTGCATTCACATCGGCCAAAAGTGTTCTTCGCAAAATTGCGTTTTTCCCCAAACAGGTACGGTTTGGGGTTCTCTCCTCCGAATAAAGGTGGGCCGCGGTGGCTGGATGGGTGGGCCGTGGCGACGGAGCTGCGCTCCCGTTGGGCTCCCTTCATGTTTCCTTACTGGGCTCCTGGATCGGACGGGTGGGCCGCGCGACAAGATAATTCCATTGGCCTCCCTTCATATTTCCTTTCTGGGCTTCATGGTCGAATGGATGGGCCGCAGCGACCGGGTGGGCTCCCATTGGGCTCCCTTCATCATTGGGCTCCATTTCCTTTCTGGGCGACGGTGGGTTCCAATTGGGCTCCCTTCATGTTTCCTTTCTGGGCTCCATGGTGGGATGGGTGGGCCGCGGCGACGGCCCTTCATCATTGAGCTCCGGGTGGGTCGATTGGGCTCCCTTCATGTTTCCCTTCTGGTCGGATGGGTGGGCCGCGGCGACGGCGTGGGGGCTCCCTTCATGTGTCCTTTCTGGGCTCCATGGTCGGATCCGCGACCACTGTTGGATGGGTGGGCCGCAGCGAAAAGATGGTTCTATTGGGCGCCCTTCATGTTTCCTTTCTGGGCTTCATGGTCGGCCGCGGCGACTCAGCTCGCTTCATGATTGGGCTCCCTTTATGTTTCCTTTCTGGGGACGAAATTGGTTCCATTGCGCTCCCTTCATGTTTCCTTTCCGGGTTCCTGGGTGGGATGGGTGGCCCGCGGCAACGGGGTGGGGTTATAGTGGGCTCCCTTCAAGTTTCCTTTCCGGGCTCCTGGGTTGGATGGGTGGGCCACGGCAAAGAGGCTGGGCTGCCCTTACGCTCCCTTCATATTTCCTTTCCGGATGTGTGGGCCGCGGCGACGATGGTTCCATTGGGCTCCCTTCATGTTTCCTTTCTGGGCTCCATGGTGGGATGGGTGGGCCGCGGCGACGGGGTGGGCTCCCATGGGCTCCCTTCATCATTGAGCCCAAGTGGGCCTGCGCTGTCTTGCTGTAACGTAATGTCCAAGGTCCAGTGAGCTGTTCCCAGCCGCCGGGCAAGCAAGAAGTTTATGGCTTGGCGACACAGAGGCTGGACTGCAAGTCTGTCAGCGAGGCTCCAAGAAGCGATATTCTTTAGCAAGCAGTCGGGCCCTTCGGACCCATCCATTGAACTTTCCCTTCGCTGTCGCGTTGTCCGTTCATAGGTTTTTGCGTGAGGGTTTGGTATCGAAGATACGCTATATGCTCACCTCACCGAGCTTGTTGTTGACGTTGTTGGGTATTGCCAATGTTGAACTCAAACTCGCACAACAGTGACGCGAAGCGATCCCCTCTTTTGCTCTCGTCTGGCCGGACGAAGTGTCTTTGCAGTCGGGAAT